AACAGAAGATCGGTCAAGGTTTGTGGAATGTTATAAAACATGAATGTTAATTTAATTTGGTGATCTTGGGAGCAACGGACTTTCTATAGAATTTCGTCTAAACAAATTGCTTTCTGTTTAATAAATTCAGTATCTTAAATTCAAAATTATGGTCAGACACATGTCTTCGAGACACTAGTGAAGGGATACATGATATATATATATATATATATATATATATATATATATATATATATATATAATATAGAGAGAGAGAGTGTGTGTGTGTGTGTGTGTATGTGTGTGTCTGTGTGTGTGTGTGTCTGTGTTAAAGTTTAAACAGTAGCCGCAAATTTTTTTTGTGAATTTAATTATATAATTTTTGAAAATATATATTATTCTTTATTTTCCATATTTATGATATACAGTGTAACCCGGATGTAAGAGAGTTGTCGGGACCGGAGACGAAGTCTCTTATATACTGGCTTTTCTTATATCCGGGTTTGGTCTATTTTATATACATTAACACAGGCTAATTTGGAACCAGAGAAAATCTCTCTTATATCCGGGTTTCTCTTATATCCGGGTCTCTTATACCCGGGTTACACTATATATATATATATATATATATATGTAAAGAATCTGAAACAATGATTGAATTTCAAACTTTAACCAATAATAGAATTAAGATTATGGAATGACTTACTCGTTTCGTCGGCTGGCGGTAGCCATGATCTAAATCTCGGCTTAGTCACGTGAAACAAATTCCCGGAGCCTCGAGAACACATTATTATCGCATTTTCATATTCGCCTCTCCTCAAAGCGACTAATCCCTTACGTGAGTGTGTTTTTAATATAAATAACATACCGTATATCACACAAAGCAAGACACGATCTCTCGAAGTGATTAAACATTTAGTAACGTGCAGGGTTTTAATATAAGTTTTTCCTTTGTGTATACCATTTTTATTTTAGCAGGCAATACAAAATTCAGATGGGTGGGGAATAGGATGCGTTGACTTTTCATCTTTTGATAAATCGATCAGCAGTACTAATGCGCACGGAAATCCCGAAATACACACACTTTCATGCCTTTGAATTTTCTGCACGTGCGAAACGCGAAAAACATAGATCCATTTTACCGCTTTGAAAAATCTAAGTGCTAGAAATTTCTTTGTTGTCTTTTATTCATTGTAATTCTTGTTTTTTATTTGTTTAACTTTTCCTTTTTTACTCTTGAAACATATGCAAATATAATATATATATATATATATATATATATATATATATATATATATATATATATATATACATATCTGTACCTCAGCGTATATCTCCATCTTAACATAAGTAATCAATTTACATGGAAATACCTATTTGTAAAAGAGACGAATTTCCATACATTTCTTTTCATCTCGCTATAATTGTATTCTGACGCAGTCTGACAATGTTTTTGATATGTTTATATATATATATATATATATATATATATATATATATATATATATCACTGTTTACAGGTATAAATGTAACTATTACTTGTATGTATTCATATATATGTGCGAGTATACAGGAAAAAGACTCTCCCTCTCTCGCTCTTTTTCTGTCTGTCTGTCTGTCTCTCTCTCTCTCTCTCTCTCTCTCTCTATATATATATATATATATATATATATATATATATATATATATATTCATATATCATTGTGTACAGGAATAAATATAAGTGATAGTTGTATGTGCGAATATACAGGAAAATGCTCTATGATATTCAATTGCCCCTGTGTGTATATCTGTATGCACAGGAGCATATCGCTGGGTATGTATATATATGTACCCGTATGTACATGTATACGCACAAATTTGTTCTAATATATGCATAAGATTGAGTGAGTGTGCACATATGTACATATGTTTGCAAGTACTATTTTCAGTTGTTTTTATTGGAACAGACTACACTCCGTTTGAATTCCTGAGCTTGAAAACCAGGCACCTCAAACGCCAAGTGTTTTTGGTCAGCTTTTCCAAATCACGCTAAAGGTTAGTTGTTTTTTTTTCTTAACTGAATAAGTAAACGCTGAAAATTCAAAGGCTTATCTTCGTCGTCATCAGGGAAATTCTGGACTATCGATGTCCTTCTCCTAGTAGATATATCAAAGTTCTTCATTAAAAAAAAAAAACCAAAATACTTTTTTTCTGAAGTTAAAATTTGTTTCCAGGATAGATGGTTTTCCCAAGTACTTTTTGCCCTCATCCTTATTTCCACATTACTTATGGAATATCCACTTGGTAACTTTTCTTTCGAAAATTCAGCTACACCTTTTTCCAATGTTGGATATTGAGCTTTTCTTCCTCTATCTATATCTTTGACACATGATTTATACTTTTTTAGTTCATTTTTTTTTTCATGTTAATCTAGATAAAACCTTACTTGACAGAAAATAAAACATACAAAAATAACAGTAAAAGCATGGTCAATTTTACGCTAATTTCATACAATTAATTTATAATTTTTGCGTGTAGTGATGTGTATATCTTTAGGTTACAATTTTTTTTTATGATACATGTGATAAAGGGGAGAAATTTACTCCGTAGTATTACATGCCATGTGAAAGAGAAAAGTGTTGCCCGTACCAAATATGCGATGAGGAAATTGAATTTAACGGCATTTGGCGGGATGTCCATATTTCTGACAGAAACATTTTTTTTTTTTTTTTGTTATTTTTTATTGAATACTGGGTGAACTTTTTATCATTTTTAATTGTAATTTAATTTATTTTATACAACGTTTTTACATTCGTGTTTTATTTTATTTATAATTTTTATTATAATAATTATTTTCTATCTATTTATTTATAACGACTATAATAACTCTACATCACATCCACACCTATTTAGAGGAGATATACTAGATAATTTATAGTAAAAATTTTCTTTGTTTTTGGAGAAATTAACTCTCATTCCGTGGTGTGTAGTCGTGTTTATTTTTTTGGTTGTATTTTTTGAGGTGGATACTTTGAAGAATTTTCACCATTTGGATTAGGTTCAGGGAGTAATTTTTTTATGTCTGTTTTTATCATTTTGCTGTGTCATTTTTTATCTCTCAGAAATGACAGTGAAAAGGTGGTTTTAGGAATTCCCTCTTATTAAGTATTTTCATATTGGCTATAGTGTCTAGAGTAAGGAGGATTTTTTAGCTAAGTGTAACGGTCCTTCAAAAAGTTCAGATTAGTCATCCTTCAAAAAATTGCTTAGTGTTTTTCCGGAATTTTTGGTAGCGGTAGAACTGTTCTATTCGTTTTTTTTTTTTTTTGTTTTTTTTTCTTTGTTTTTTTCAGGTAGTAGTTGGGTTTTGCTGAGGAGGCATGGTGGAGTAATGGATAACGGCTCGGATTGAGGAATCGGAGAGCCAAGTTCGAATTCCAGTCGAATCCATTACATTCTCTTACGTGTTAATACCCTTGTGATAGGTATGGATCCTATTATTCTCTCCCTCCAGCTATGGGCAAATAGTTGGACAGACCGGGGTTCTGTGGCCTTGGATGGCAGCTAGTTTACCATAGAAAGAAATGTCAACACACTGCGGGGAAAAAAAACTACCTCGTCTGTGATATATCGAAAGATACTTGATCGCCAAAACGATTATCACGCATGACATGTGACTGACTGGGTTGGGTTCCAGTGAAAGGTACATTTCTCATTTCATTTCTAGGGAGTTTATCCAGTTGTTTCTTTTTTTTTATTACATATTGTTGTTTTTTAAGCTGTTGCACTATTATTCCGTTTATTTGGGTATGATACCAGATTATTCAGATTGGCAATCCTTTTGCATTTTGTGAGCCAGTCATTTGAAGGTATTTTCTTAAGTTTCTGATTTTTAACGCAAACTATATGATCACATTTCATGTCAAGTGTATGCAAATGGATTAACTTCGAAGATGGAAGCCAGATTATGAATGTTGTTAGATAAAAGGCGAAATGCTTACTTGTTTTTTGTTCCTCTGCTTGCATGTTTTTATGGACAGAAGCATTGGTTATCAGCGGTGAGTGGACGATAGTTGTTTTTGATGTCACCATGTGGTAAAGTTTCGTCTTCCGTCGTTTTATTTAAAATGGTGTGGGGAATAACATTTATTTCTGTACGTCGTTGGACACCAAGCGATGTGGTTTTGGGACGTCTGTTATTACACAAATGATGTCCAGAATGACAGTTTTTCTTCTTTTTTTGTACGTCGTTGGACACCAAGCGATGTGGTTTTGAGACGTCTGTTATTACTCAAATGATGTGCAGAATGATTTTTTTTCTTCTTTTTTTGTACGTCGTTGGACACCAAGCGATGTGGTTTTGAGACGTCTGTTATTACTCAAATGATGTGCAGAATGACAGTTTTTCTTCTTTTTTTGTACGTCGTTGGACACCAAGCGATGTGGTTTTGAGACGTCTGTTATTACTCAAATGATGTGCAGAATGACAGTTTTTCTTCTTTTTTTGTACGTCGTTGGACACCAAGCGATGTGGTTTTGAGACGTCTGTTATTACTCAAATGATGTGCAGAATGACAGTTTTTCTTCTTTTTTTGTACGTCGTTGGACACCAAGCGATGTGGTTTTGAGACGTCTGTTATTACTCAAATGATGTGCAGAATGACAGTTTTTCTTCTTTTTTTGTACGTCGTTGGACACCAAGCGATGTGGTTTTGAGACGTCTGTTATTACTCACCAAATGATGTGCAGAATGACAGTTTTTTTTTTTTTTGTACGTCGTTGGACACCAAACGATGTGGTTTTTTGGACGTCTGTTATTACTCAAATGATGTGCTTTTTTTTCTTTTTTTGTACGTCGTTGGACACCAAGCGATGTGGTTTTTGAGACGTCGTTTTACCAAATGATGTAAGAATGACAGTTTTTCTTCTTTTTTTGTACGTCGTTGGACACCAAGCGATGTGGTTTTGGGACGTCGTTTATCATATAAATAATGTGCAGAATGACAGATTTTTTTTTGTACGTCATTGGACACCAAACGATGTGGCTTAGGGACGTCGTTTATCACATAAATAATGTGCAGAATGGCATTTTTCTTCTTTTTTTTTTAAACGTCGGTCACCGTAATGTACGTAGTTGTTTTTTTCTTTTTTTATACACGTCTGGAGTGAACAAATGATGTCGATAGTAATATTTTTTTTTTACTAAAGGTCGGTGGACACCAAAATGATGTGGATGAATAGGTTAGTTTTCTTATGCACCTCAGCTGTTACTAAAATGTTATGAGGGTTCACTCACACCATAGCAGGAGAAACTAGTTTCGTAACACACGTAGATAAAAGCGTACCTGAAAAAAAAAACTAAAACAACAAAAATAACAGAAAAATCATCTGTTAATTTCATACAATTTATTTGTATATTTTTTGTATTGGTAAGTGTAATTTTAGGATACAATTGTTTTATGGTACATATGATAAAAGGGAGACATTTACCCTGAACTATTACAAGTCTTATCAAAGAGAAATGTTGGACACGTGTTCTCCGTACCAATGTTCGTGGTGAAGAGATTGAACTTAACGTCTTTTGGCTGGGTGTCCTTATTTCCAACAGGCATAGTTGTTGTTGCATGCTGGGATAATTATTATTATTTTTAAATTTTATTTCATTAATTTTTTACAACGTATTTATGTTATTTTTTTTATTTAATTTTATTTATAATTTTAATTAATTGTATTATTTTATATTTTATTTATATTCATTTATAATAATAATAATAATAATAATAATAATAATAATATCCCTCCAAGCTAAACGGGCGGTAGGAGAGGACAAATTCAATCAATCTGTGGGTCATGTCAAGCCCTATAAAATTAAATGTGACATTGTCTCAAAAATTGATCACATCATATTCAAACACCCAACACTTTAATAATTATAATTTAATGATGAAACAATGTTATTCTTTGGAATTATAAAATTTAAATTTTACTATTCAGATTTTGGTATTAAATAAACCCGTAGAGTTTGATATGCCGCTAAACAAGTTCAATCAAACATCACGCTTAATTAAATGTCGCATGTTTCGAGGGCGATACTTCGTCTCATTTATATTTAATACAACTGAAAAGATTTTTTTTTGATTTAGATGTTTTTCTCTATCTCCCTCTCCGTATTTCCCTTATCCCGTCAGTTTCTCTCACTTTCTTTCAATCTCTCTCCTCTCTCTCCCCTCCTCTCTCTCTCTCTCGCTCGCTCACTCTCTCAATATAAGTGACTTTCTCTTTACTTAACAATTTCATAAACTCTTATATCTTCCATTCTGCGATTTAAGTTAGATAATTTTCACATTATTTATTTATACTTGTTATGGTCCAATATCCTAGTACCACAGTTATGGTCCAAGGTGAGAACAAAGGAAGAACAACACAAACTCAAGAGTAGAATAACAAAAATATATTACAACAGAAATATAGTACAAGAAGTTGAAGGTGTTTGTAATGACTGTCCGTCTGGTTTTGAGTGAACTAATATTGACTCGACTCGTTACACCATTCATTCGGTATCTAGCCCCCCCCCCCCCAACACGAGGGTGGTATGTGGCACAAAGCCGAGTTTAACGTGGGTTTCCCGGGCCTGTAGGCTCGGCCAAAAATATATACTTCGAACTCGTCTAGACGGGTTCAGGGGCCTGTCTACCTCCCCGGACAAAACCTTACCCTTCGGCATAGCTTCGTCCGGGTTCCTATCTGCCAAAGCAGAGAGTTCAACGGTCATGAACTGGTGCTGGTTACACCATTCATTGTATTTAATATCCCACCCACAAGGAATATATGCGGCACGAGGCCGAGATTAAAGTGAGTTTCTCCGAGCCCGTAGGCCAGGCCAAAAATATGCCCTTTGAACCCGCCTAAACGGGTTCAGGGCCTGTCTACCTCCCCGGATGAAACCATGCTCTTCGGCAAAATTTCGTCCGGGTTCCTCTCTGCCAAAGCAGAGAGTTCAACAGACATGACCTGGTGCTGGTTAGACCATTCATTCATTATCCCTCTTGAGAGGCTCAGTATTTATAGTGTCAGGAAAAGTCCATTATAGTTATAGGTAAGTTCCCTACTAAATACTAAATCTATCTATCTATCTATCTATCTATCTATCTATCTATCTATCTTCGAGAGTTCATTCATGTCCATCTATCTATCTATGACAGCCTATTCATATCTATCTATCTATCTATCTATCTATCTATCTATCTATCTTCGACAGTTCATTCATATCTATCTATCTATCGATCTCATTCTATTCGTATTTACATACCCATCTATCTCAATCTCTTCGTATCTATCTATCTATCTATCTATCTATCTATCTATCTATCTATCTATCTTTATATGTGTGTGTGCGTATATATCATTTTGTTTTTATGTAGACAGCTAAGTATCTACAGATTCCGATAGGTAAATTGTCGTCTAAATGACGCAAAAATTAAAATATTAATGACCTCTCATTTTAAGAGATATATTTACAAATATTACACAGAAATATCTTGAAATATTTAAGATTAAAGTGTAAATTTGATCAGTAAAATCGGCATTGACTTCAGCCTTAGCCTCCAGATGACTTCGGAATCTCCTGCATCTCTTCTTGTCGGTCTCCTTTTTAATTGGGCGAATGCTGCCATAATCTTTACCTTCAGTTCATCTTTGATATTTCAATGAGATTTGTTGGTCTCTCGCTTGACTGTGCAACACACATAACAATCAAGGGTGTGGTGTCTGAGGAGTTAGGTGGGTGATGTGATCGCAGAAATTGTCTGAATCCATGACTGTGTTCTCCTGCTAGTGTGGCGGGCTTCAGTGCCCTGTCTCCAGAGATAAATTATTCCAGCAAACAACTTCTTAACCCAGGGCAGTACTAACATCATTAGTGATCACTCCAAACACCGTGATATTGACTGGATATATCATCCAACTAGTTTTCGTATACTCTGCACTCTCCTCAGATTGACGCCCAAACACACTGATCAAAATCAAACAATGCGCATGCGCAAAATAAAAAATAAAATAAAATGGCGACAATTTACTCATCGCATCCTGAATATCTCACTCAAACTTTGTATAATATGGCAGCTAACTAAATATTTCATATCAAAGCGAACAAACAACGAATACATTTTAAATCATCGGTTAGGATATTCTTGAAGAATTCGTTCCATGCCAGATGGAAATTGCGAAATTGTGCTATATTCCAGGTTCTTTTCACTCACATAGATCGTTTTACCTAACATTATTGGATGTTTGTGATCTTTTTTAAAATTTGTATTATATCTAACGCTAGTATCTATTCCATTTTCTCTCAGTCTCTGTCTGTCATGTGTCTCTCTCCCTCTCTCTCTCTCTCTCTGTTTCTATCTCTTTCTCCTCTCTCTCACACTCTCTTTCTCTCTCTCTTCTCTATCTATCTATCTCTCTCTCTCTCTCTCTATATATATATATATATATATATATATATATATATATATATATATATATATATATATATATACACACACACACACACACAAAGAGTGTAACAGCAAAATAGTCCAAATCGTGTAACAGCAATAACTATTCCAATTGTTAGATTAAGCTTTGAACTGTTGTATTTGGGAAATGTGGTAATGATTAAAGATATTAAACTCTACTTTGAACAATAAAATGTATTTAGTTCCAAGTTGAAAAGATGATACCTCTTCCTGTTGTGACCACCTGATCCAGTTTTCCTTTTTATTGTCCTCTCCTTCTAAAACGTTTCACCTATTCTCTTGATGGTACTCGAATGGACTTTGAAGATGGAAGCCTCATTATGAATGCTGGTACCATTACTAAAGGATGGACTTTTTTTTATCTCACAATTTCTCAGTTGGGAAGGCTCTTGATACTTTCAAATCATTGGATTCGGATGTGTTTTGCAGCGGTCCTAAACAAAGGAGATTAAGTTTCCCTTACATAACATCATGTTGACTGGAGGTCGACCACTCTCTTACCTCCGAGTTTAGTAAAACACACGTGGGTCAATAAAAATTGACCTTTAATTTTCCAACCAATTTTTGTGTTATTTATTGTGGTCCAACGACACTACCATCTGATACCAGATGAATAACCAAATACCAACATACCACAAGTCTGTGGCGGCAATATACAAATGATTGCAGAATTGTAGACTGAAAAATATGCAAGATAGATGCTGGTACGAAAAATTGTTAAGCATGACACAGTGAACAAGTCGCCTCCCATAATTGTTAGCATGGAACTTACTGGTATATCTAGCCAAACTGTTAATTGAGGATATCTAATCCTGCGTTTAAATCAATAAAATCTATGGCCCATAGCGAAAACAAGTACTAGTAACTTTGACCGATTTTAAATGTGAATTAAGTTTAAGCGTCTAATGAATGCTCGTTTTCTTTTTCTTTCATATTTGGCGGATATTTGGAAGATATTATTTTTCACACATAATTGCCATGACTTAAATAACATGATCCAATAGAGAAATAAATAAATTTTCACCAATAACACTGATTTGTGTACTGATGACTTTGATCCGTCTTAATGAAACACCCTTATATATAATCTGTCTTACAGAAACACCCATTAATTACAATATTATTTAGTGAATGTTGAAACTTGACTAATGCATGGAATAATAATACAACACAAAATGTATTTAGAACAAAATGTATTGAAACAAGAAAGTGTACACAATATTTACATATAGTCTTTTGTATATTCTTGGGAAGACCGTTCCTGGAGAATGTGTTGACTTAGTCGCAGTCGGGCAGAGTCTCTGGATTGAATCTCTTGATTCCTTCCCCGTTTTCCCGGTACCAACCATATTTATATGGTCAGTACTCCACTATGCAAATTAGGTGGATCCTACCACAACAGTGAAAAAAAAAAAAAAAAAAAACATAAGGAAGCTATATTTCGGCAACGGGAATATGACTGAAGCCAAGATGCCATGTCGGGACAAATAATACTGCATATTTTCTTTGGATTTTATCAAGCGTCTCTAAATATAGAGCAGGTGCACCCGGCCGTATGTGGTAGGAATATTCAAAGCATGGACGAAAAGCAGACTTACATAGATTTAGGAGAGAAAAATGTCTAGTACAACAACTTGAACCAACTTTCTTAACAGTAAACCTGGCAATGGATTCAATAATATTTCCAGTTCATATCAGCCGGCAATGTAAGCCCTAGAAGGCGCGAAAATTGTACATAAGTTTGAGTTGTCTTACTGATGTCTCTCTGTAGCTGATCGTGTGTGCAAAAATATATTGATCCGATCTGGAAAGTCAAAATGCATTCAGTATTTACAAAAGAACTGGCTGACTCAATCAAATTGCTCTTCTCTCCAGTTCAAAATCTAATATTTCCGGTCTCACACACTTTTTCACGTATCGAAATTGTTAGAGAATAAATGACTGAAAAAAAATCGAATATATTTTTTCCAATAATTGTTTCCGAAGAATTATTATCGAAAAACGTTCACATAAAACTTTTTTCAGCATTTCTCGAACTTTTAAATATAGTGATGTTCTAAGCGTAGCTTGGATGTGGCGCAAGGCCGAAAATACTTGGCACCAAGTGTGGATCGAACTCACTACTATAGTTGTAATTAATCTAGCAAGACAAGCTTTGTAACCATTAACACCACGTCGTGGTGTCCCGAACTTTTAAATATAACTGCATTGTTGCATACTTTACTTCTTTTTTTTTTTTTCAATAGTAATTACGAAGTTTCAGAAGCAGTAACTAGTCAAATATGTATTTTTGGAGAGAAATGTAAACCAATCATTATACGATGTTTGTCGATATTTCTGAGATTGGGAATTGGATTATTTAGACAATTTACATCGTTCGAACTGATCATTGTTGCCATATTCACGATGTTTTGGACCATTCTACGCTTCAGCCTTCTTCAGGTGACTGAAATTTCGAAACGGACACTTTATTTCATCGGCCACGGTAGATTGATCTCTGGCGGATATTTCGATATCCGTTATTTTCCTTTGACTTGCCTCGTCAAGTTTGTGTTCACCTCTGCTTAGCCAGGTATTGAACTCACAATGCTTTGGGATAAGTCAGTGGATTTCTTCAACGCTTTTATCCGCAAGGTCATGTGTTCCAATCACCTGAAGAAGGCCCGAGCCTACAGCGGCATTTACTATGATTATCCTTTTATTATCCTTCCCACTCCCTATTACGACATCCATTTTACTTGCTTGTTACATAGGCTATCCGGCATTACCGTCTACGCCCCTCGAATCATTATGTCATCTGAATGTTATATATTTGCAAACATTACTTTCTCATTACATGCCTTTTTCTAATTCTAATTCTAATCATACTTTTTTCCACTTTGCTTAAAATTCCATCTTGCCTTTCAGAAGGATAATATTACAGAACCTTAAAGAAAATTACATTTATTTCGTCATATATTTAATGACAATTATATTATGCGTATTTTTATTAGATAAGAAATGAAATAAATCTATATTACTACTCAGAGACCCCCCCTACCTACATAAGAATTCACTGCTAGTTCTTGACAATTCCACCTGGATTAAGTGCTTTAATAACGAATTTGATATCCTTATGGGGGCATATGATTCAGCCTGGGTTGCTGATTTTAGATGTTTTTTTTGTTTTTATATATTTTTGATACTCTTAGTAGAATTGTAGATCCCTAAAAAATAGGCCTGTATGGAGACGATTGACTCATTTTCACCCAAATATTAATGGTCCACTAACAGCAAAAAAAATTATTAGGTTCTTTAAATGAATAGGGACTGGGGTTTCTTCTGACCTTAAAATAATTGATTAACAAGACATCAATATTAAAAGTTTTATACCATACCATAAAGACAATGAAACCCCCACCTATATTAATGTTCACTCTAACTACCCCAATGGCATTGTGAGGCAGATAGCCACCACTATCGGCAGTAGAATTAGTCGATTATCGTCCAACATAAACATATTTAATAAAACTAATGAACTGTATTAAAATACCCTCCATAAAATTGGTTTTAAAAATAAATTACGTACCTAAAACCATAAGTAACACTGAAAGATCTAATGTGGACTTTAGGCACAGAAATAGAAACAGAAAAACATTATATGGTTCACCCTGACCTTGTGCAAAGTGGCAAACATTAATATTGCATTTTCTAAAGATCTTAAATAGGAAAACGATTAAAATTAGCTACTCATGTGCCAATAATATCGACAAAATTGTCAATTCAAATAATAACTATATTTTAAGTAATTACTGTGGGATAAAAAACAAACCTGGTTCTGTAACTGTAGGTATAAAGAAAGTTGTGCAGGTGAGGGCAAATGCAGACAAACTAGGGGAATATACCAAGCAACTATTTCATCCAAAAAAATATGAAAAATTATAATGTTTACATTGGAATTTCCGCGTGGAAATGGAAACAGAGTTTTCATAACCATAGACATTCTTTTACCAACCCTAAATTAAAACGCCAAACAGCTCTTTA